TTTCATGTTGTTTAACATAAAAAAACCGACATAATTTTTGGTTGTCGTTAATGTTTCAAATAGTTTTCTTTCGGTCCATATACAAATGACGTGCCGTACTTTATTTCCAAACCTGTCGTTTGTCATCTAAAAGTGCAGTGATGGAACTAGAATTTATCAGTAAAGGGGTTAAATTTTTTATTTATTAAGATTATAATAATATGTATATATATATATATCACAATTTTTATTTATTAAATATTAAGAACTACTAATTTAAAGGGATCAAGTTTAATCTATACACTCACCTACAATATTAAAATTAAAACCACTATATTAAGAAAAAAAAAATTAAGAAAAAAGCTAGGAGGGGCCGTCTCCGTCACTGTAAAAGTGTGTCGTCAATTTTTTCACAAAACGACAATATGTTTACTTATGTTAGATTGGTGCCGTCTATCATGTTAACAGCGTGTCAACGACATACAAAACTCTTTATCATTTTTTACTACCGAAAAAAAAGATAGAAAGAAAGATACGCAAAAAAAAAAAAAAAAAAAAAAAAAAAAGTTTTTAAAAAAAAAAAATTTTTTTAAAAAATTTTCATTTTTATAAAAAAAGAATTGTTTTAACAAATGTTCCAAGTTTCTTATTCAATTAAAAAAATAATTGTTTTCTAAAAATGGTTAATTAGTGATTTATTGGTGGATTTGAAGATTTATTACTAATTGACCAATATCAATTAGTATTTAATTAGTCTTTTAATGATTTATTGATAAATTAATATTTAACTTGGTGGTCAATCAATAATGACCGAATCATGTTAATATCACCAGTCAATTTCGTAAAATAAATACTTATTCAAAGAGGTGAAAAAAACCGACCACTCTCACTCAATTTCTCTTTTCCAATATTTCTTCTACATTTATCAGGGGCCTTTGTAAAAATAATCTAATAGAAAAACTTTATTCATAAAATGACAATCCAAAAATTTTTATTTGCAAAATGACTTCTGAGAAGAAAGAAAAACGAAAAAAAGCAAATTTTGTTGATTTCTTCACATTCATTCTCCCGAAGAAGCCATTCTTCTCATTCTTCGGAAACACTTCGCCATCTCCGCATCTCTGCCAAAAATTCCTCCGCCTTTCTTCCTCTCTCTCGCTCCTTCTCTCTCTAGCCGTTGATTCTCAGCGTCGTAGGCTCCGATTCTCTCAGCATCGTAGGCTCCGATTCCAGCTTCCGCCGCCTTCGATTGTCGTTGCCGCCGCGGATTGTCGTCGTCGCCGCCTAGTTGCCGACAAACCCAAGATCTCTCCCCTGTCTCCCTTTCTCATCGTGGAATTAAGAATTTATTCAAATAAAATAAATAAAATTAAAAAGTTATTTTCCTAATTTTACTTTTTTCTCGGTTATTTTAGCCAAATTCTCATTTATCAGTTAGTAGTCCATTCTGGTTCCTCTCTTATCACCTTTTCACTTGAGTTTAACATTTTTTTTTATTATCATGGTCGAAAAAGTCCAAGTGAAAATTATTTTGGCCGGCAATTTAAAATTTTAAGTAGCCTTCACTATCAACATTTATAAGAATTATGCATTTTTCATGACATTTCCTATGTAGCTTCATTGACTTAAATGCATGCCTTATTTAAAAGTCAAATAATGAGTCCACACCACCTTGTTATTATAAACATAATGAAAGCTAAGTGATTAGAACGTCCACATTGAATATATAATGAAGAGTTTCATAAGACATTTAATAGAAAACCATATTATAGATGTTGCTTTTATAAGCTTCAGTCTTCATTCTTCTGTTATTCTGGTTTTTCAACTCTTCTATTCCTTTTTTTTCCTTAATCAAACTTTCTTGCTCTTCACGTAAGTCAAATTGATACACTCTAACTTCAAGTTCCATGCCCTAAAATTGTGTCTTGGAAAGTCAGTCCTCATGGAACGACTTACAATACTTGGATTAATGCTTCTAGTTCTCTTCCATGTATCAGGAGAGTTCATTAGCAATACTGATGCTCAATTGATGGATTGCTTAGAGTCCGACCGAGGAGCTCTTCTCGACTTCAAAACTGGTCTTGAAGATCCCGAAAGCTGGCTTTCGTCATGGAAAGGGAGCAACTGTTGTCAGTGGTGGGGAATAAGCTGTGACAAAGCTGGGGCTGTTACAACAGTTGATCTCCACAACCTCAGTGGGGAAATAAGACCTTCATTGACAAAACTTAGGTCCTTGAAACATCTGGACTTGAGTTCCAACACTTTCAAGGTAATCCCATTTCCTAAATTTTTAGGATCTTTGGAGAATTTGCAGTATCTAGACATCTCATATGCTGGTTTTAGTGGTCTAGTCCCTTCAAATTTAGGAAACCTCTCTGGCTTGCAGTACCTTGATGTCAGTTCTTTTGGTTTATATGTCGATGATCTTGAATGGGTTAGGGGTCTACTCTCTCTAAAGAATCTTGTCATGGATGGTGTTGACCTTTCAAAGGTAGGATCAAACTGGATTGTGATGCTAAACAAGCTTCCATTCTTGACGAAGTTGCATCTCTCTTCTTGTGGCCTATTTGGTTCAATTCCGCCTCTTGCATCAGTTAATTTCACTTACTTGCTGATTTAGATCTTAGTGGTAACAGTTTTGATTCGGAAATACTTGACTGGCTCGTCAATATTAGCAGCCTTGTAACTGTCGATTTGAGCAGTAGTGGCCTGCATGGAAGGATCCCACTCGGCTTTGGTGAGCTTCGAAATTTGCAGTTTTTGAGTCTTCGTTGGAACAGTAATCTCACAGCAAGTTGCCCTCAGTTGTTCAGTGGAAGATGGGAAAAGATAAATGTTCTTGACTTGGCTTCTAATAATCTGCATGGAAAACTTCCTTCTTCCATTGGAAACATGACATCTCTCACTTACTTGGATCTTTCTGACAATAATGTTGAGGGTGGAATTCCAAGTTCTATTGGAAAGCTCTGTGACCTCAAATTTCTGTGTATATCAGGTACTAACTTGACTGGAGCCTTACCTGACTTCCTTGAAGGAACACAAAGCTGTCATTCTAGGAGTCTACTGCCTAGCCTTCAGTACTTGGATTTGTCAAACAACCAATTGGTTGGTAAATTGCCAGAATGGCTTGGTCAAGTTAAGAGTCTACTTGAACTTGATTTGAAGTTCAACTCGCTATATGGCCCGATTCCAGCTTCTTTTGGGTCGTTGCAAAATCTTACAGGTTTGGCATTAGGAGACAACAAACTAAATGGGACTCTCCCATATAGTTTAGGGCAACTTTCTGAATTGTCTTACTTTGATGTTTCTTTCAATCAGTTGACCGGGGTAGTCAATGAAACGCATTTTCTAAAGCAACATAAGTTGAGATATCTAATACTCTTTTTAAACTCTTTGATGCTCAATTTCAGTTCGAATTGGGTCCCTCCATTCCAAGCATGGACTATTACAATGGGTTCATGGAGTCTTGGTCCTTCATTTCCAACTTGGCTTAGAACACAAAAGGAGATCAGCTTATTGGATTTCTCAAATGCCAGCATTTCCGATTTTGTTCCTTATTGGTTTTGGGATGAAATCTCCTCAAATCTCTCATACTTGAATGTTTCCTTTAATCAATTAAAAGGTCACCTACCAAGTCCACTAAATATATCTCCCTCTGCAGATGTTGACTTGAGCTTTAACCTTTTCGAAGGGCCTATTCCTCTCCCAATTGTGGGAGCAGCCGGAGGAGGAGTCCTTGATCTATCCAACAATAAACTTTCAGGGCCTATTCCGCAAAATATAAGTTCTTCCCTACCAAACTTGCGCTTCCTCTCTCTTTCTAAAAACCAGATAAGAGGAGAAATCCGAGCTTCTTTTGGCAACATGGAATTCCTTGAAGTCATTGATCTCTCAATTAACAAATTATCAGGAAACATTCCGGCAAGCATTGGGAATTGCTCTTTACTAGAGGTATTGGACCTCAGTAACAACAATTTATCTGGTAATATTCCGGCCTATTTGGGTAAACTACGGTTTCTCCAAACCTTGCATCTAGGGGGCAACAAGCTTTCGGGAAGGATCCCATCATCTTTAAAGAACTTGTCAAGTTTGGAGACATTGGATCTTGGAAACAACAGACTAATAGGAAGACTACCACAATGGATTGGGAAAGGACTTGAAAATCTAAGAATTCTAAGCTTGAGGTCAAACTCATTCTCCGGAGAATTGCCTTCTACGCTTTCGAATTTAAGCTCATTACAAGTGCTGGACCTGGCAGAAAATCTGTTCAATGGCTGCATCCCTGCTAGTTTTGGAGATTTCAAAGCCATGACTCAAGGTAAACGCATAAACCGGTATCTTTTCTATGGTAACTACTGGGGTAAGTATTATGAAGAAAAATTGTTGGTGAATATGAAAGGCCAGATTCTGACATACACCAAGACACTATCTCTTGTAACAAGCCTGGACCTCTCTGGCAACAATTTGAATGGAGATATTCCTGAGGAAATCACAAATTTACTTGGTTTGGTTGTTCTGAACTTGTCCCAAAATCATTTTAGTGGTCATATTCCTATTAGCATTTCAAACATGGGACAATTGTTATCACTTGATCTCTCAAGTAATAGCCTACGGGGTCCTATTCCTGCGAGCTTGTCATCACTTTCATTCCTGGGGTATGTCGACTTGTCAAACAATGGGTTTTCTGGTATGATTCCTTATACTGGTCATATGACTACTTTCGACGCATCCTCTTTTGCCGGAAATCCAGGACTTTGTGGTGCTCCACTTGCTGTGAAATGTCCGGGTGATGATTCGAACAAGGGGCCAGTTTTCAATGAAAACCACGATGATGACAACTTCATTGATAAGTGGTTTTATTTGAGTGTTGGGTTGGGATTTGCCGCAGGACTTCTAGTTCCTTATCTTGTGTTTGCCATGAGAAGACCTTGGAGAGATTCTTACTTTCGGTTCATGGACAGTTTTGCAAAGAGAATATCATGGTTTGGGACATATAGAAGCAGAACATAAGAGGTCTAAACATGGTCTGGACAAATGAAAGCGAATGCCATTTAAGGCAGCATTCTGGTTTTTGCCTTCTTTTTCTTTTCAGCTTGGATTATGTACTGCTTGCAGAATAAAATGAAACTTCAGTGCTTCAAATTCGTTAAGTTCATATATTTAAACTTCTGCATGATACTCAAATCATCTGTTTTTTCTGCTTTTTTTTTTCTTTTCTCTGGATTTCTTTTCATTAAGACATCAGTTCCACTTCAATTTTAAGAGAAAGAAATGTGTGAGAAGTCAGAGAAATTGAAAAGGCATCACACAATATCAGGACAAAAACAACAAGAGAGAGATCTATAGCTCTCTTTAGTATTGTTTCCTATTTAATAATAATGCTCATAGAAAATAAACAACAGAAGACAAGTAACTGAAAATGAAGAAGGCTTATCAAAACGACTTGAGGAGAGAGCTTGATTGATGTTTTGCTCAGGAAAAAGATTCATCTACAGAACACAAGTGAACATTTAACAGAACCCAAAAATCATATAATGTTTTTTACTATTTATTTATTTATTTATGGCTAATGTCTAAAATCCTAACAGTTAAACATGATTTTTGTTGCCATATTCTTTTAATCATATTTTCTTCTGAATCTTCAGCCTATTTCGACTTGCTTTATATGCTTATATTTGAAAATTTTTGGGGATGATCGATCGAAATGAAGAGCAGACTTTACAAACGTGTCATCTGATTTTTATTCATGGCTTGTTTAAGGATTCATGAAGCATTAATGTAATCGAAAAGCGAAAAATTGAGAATGGAAATTTTGGCTCCTTTACGATCAAGGAATTAATTTGGAATCATACAATCTTGTCATCTGATTACATGAATTCTTTTTGGGAAAATACACTTAATAACATTTTTTTTACCTAGCTTTTTAAAGTAAATAACATATATTTTAAATAGTAATAAATTATAACATATCTCTCTTATTCATTTTGAAATAAATTATTCATTTTCAATTTGATCCACAAAATTTTCTTCTTTCTTTTTTCTGGTTATCTCTCGAATTACTTTTCCAAAAGCTACCTATCTCTACAGCCTCTCTCTCTCTCTCTCCCCTCTCTTTCTCTCTCTCCCTCCATAAATCAGATGCAAATGGCGACTTACGATGACTGATGATAGCCACCGTACGAGGGAATCTCCGCCGACGTCTCTCTCTCTCTCTCTCTCTCTCTCTCTCTCTCTCTCTCTCTCAGATAAATATTATATTATTTACTTAAATATGTTATTTACTAATGAATACGGTATTAAATGGTAAATACAACATTTATGAGTATTTATTGTGTTAAACAATCACCGAAAAACGGTTACAGGAATCAAAAAATAGTCACCAGTCACTAGAGCCGGCCGTCGGTCCCGGTCATAGTGGACTTGACTATAATCTTTTTATTTTAAAAAATATATTATAATTTACTATTTTTTAAAAAATAGATATTTTGGTAGGAAGAGTGAGGTAGAAAATGAGCTTTAGGGATATTTTTGAGTTTTTAATAATGTTTAAAATTTATAATATCAAATTACGCTATAATTTACTATTTTTAAAAAATATGTTATAATTTACTAAACAATCCTTTATCCCGTATTTTTAATGATTTCAGTACTTGTTTAGCTGGTTTGTTTATCATAACACAGAATAATAAAAGCGACATCAAAACATAAAATGACGATTAAACAATGAAAACGACATGATCTGGAAAACGACAAGTAAAAGCAAAATGAAGTCGGCAACATAAAAGCGACGTCAAAATAAACATCAAACGAAGTTGACAACATTAAAAACAAAGCCAAAATAAAACGACAATCAAGCAAAAACGACATGATCTGGAAAACGACAAAATAAAAACAAAATGAAGTCGGCATCATAAAAACGACACCAAAATAAAAATGACAAAAATATAGAAACACGATATAACATTGTAACCAGTAAAAACAACGACAACACGCCATAGACTAAAAAAACAAAAAAAACAAAAACAAAAAAACAAAAACAAAATTAGGGCTCAGCTCAGAATACGCATTCAAAGGACCAAAACCCTAGCTTGCAAGAAAGAACCTTCAAACTGAAATCAGCAGAACCAGAAAAGAGAGAGAGAGAGAGAGAGAGAGAGAGAGAGAGAGAGAGAGATGACGCAGAAAAGCAATCTATTCAAAGGCCAACAAAAGAGGAAAACTATCCCTCCCAATCGCCATGGAAAAGTTCCTCAAACCCGTAAAGGTATTACCTTTCTCTCGTCCTTCGCAATTAGCCTGACAAACGTCGAATTGATTAACTGAAAAATAAAATCCTTTTTTCTGGTTTGTTTTTCCAGGCAAGAGATTTGTAAAGCCTTCAAATTTTTCGAGCGAAATGAATATGGATCGAGTAAGTCCCAATTTCTCCTCCTCTGCTTTTTTTTTTTTTTTTTTTGTTATTCATCTTTTTTTCCCCGAATATACTTTATTTAAGATTTGTAAATTCCCAGCAAATTAAGTTTTCAGTTCTTTTTGCTGTCTTAAGAGATCAATTTAAGATGCTAAGGCAAAAGCTTTGGGTTTTAATGTGCTATATTTGTGCTATTGTTTAGAGCTGGAGACTTTAGGGCATATCAAATTTATAGAGTAAATTGGGTTTTCTGAATTTGTTCGTGTTGAATTTTAGTGTTATTACTATTTCAAGTTACAGCTATGGTTGCTCTGAGTTTTCAATGATCCATTTATCCTGTCTAAGGGGAGTAATGGGTAAATTTGCAATAGTCAGAAAAGGCATTGATTTTAGGAAAAAGCTTTGGGCTTAATTAATGTGCTACATTTGTGTTATGGCCTAAAGTTGGGGACTTTATGGCATTGTCAAATTTGTGTGTATTGAAGTTCACTTCACTCGATCTTTTCGACTTTCGGGAAGTGATGCTTGCTGCTTTTACAGTGGGGAAACATTTTGCTGTTTGAACTCTTTATGTTGGCTGGATGGAAGGTACTAGATTAGTTTTTGCAAGAATTGGACAAGAGCTCCAACTAGTCGTCCTAAATTGCAATTATGTTTTCACCTTTTGAGTTCTTTTCATTTTGATTGAGACCCGAGAATGATTGGATATGTTTTATATGTTTTGAGGAGGGATTTGGTCTGATAATTAGTTTATCCAATTGATGTTCTTTGGTGCCCAAGATAGGTGAATGCTGATTGAAGTAGGAATTAGAATAGGAGACCCTGAAAGCCTTCGATGCGTGTTCATTTTATGGTTTGAATGATATAATATTGAGATTTGTCAGATCTTATTTTCCAAGTCTTTAATTGCATCATGTCTTTCCACATACAAACTCTTAATTTTGACTGGATTGTAATCAGGAGGTGACAAAGTTCATAAACCACTGCAATGAGATGAAGGCTGCCACTGCTGCCAACAAGGAGGGTGGCCAACTAAGCCTTGTCAAACCGCCCCCTGAGGCACCGAGCAAAAAGAAAAAATCCACCGTAGAGACTGAAAGCGGCACTAACAAGTAGCTGATGACAACTGGACAGAGAGTAGAATTTTTTGGACGCGCGTGACTTGAACCTGCTGTGTGTTAAATAGTTCTCTTTGAAGATGAGAGTGCACCTCTGTTTTTTTAGCCTGTCCTTAGCAGTTTTGAACTAGGGCCTCCTTAGATACTCTTTACTTGTTTATGTGATTTCGGGATTAAATTATGAAAGCAGTTTTGAGCCAACGGAGAATTGTTGATAGTTGATAATGTGATAAAGAAAGTCTAGTTATGTTCACGAAATCTTTTATCATCATATATATTGAAGATTTATGCTTGCCCTTTGCTATTTCTTTTTTTATGTTGCTTTGTTACGGAAGATGATTGCTTTGATTTTATGAAAGCTCCTTAGAATTAGAGACCAAATAATAAATGACAAGAAAAAAAATACAGAAGCAGAAACAGAAACAAAAAAGAAAAAAAACAATAACCAACTAGTTAGTTGTTGCCTACTCTAGGAGTTCTTAACATTTAAAGGTATATAAATATCTAGTTGTTAATGTTTGTCCTGTCACTTTCTAAGGGCAACAATATATAGTTCATAAATTTAAATATAATATTTGAATTGAAATTCAAAATTTTTACAATGAGGTCCGAAAAATGACTTGCTAATCTTGACCAGCTTTAAACCGTTTAACCATATTTTGATTTTATTGGAATTAAAAAAAGAAAAAAAACAGTATGAGGTTTGACACTGTTAAACTTGATCATAACTGGGTAATTGTATGAGATGAATAAGATTCTTTTTTTTTTTTGTGATTAGCAAAAAAAAGGGTTTTTTTTTTTTTTTTTTTAATAACGGAAATGGAGAGGCAACAATGATCAATTCAATTGTGGGCATAGGCATTGAGGGTGACGCATGAGAAGAAGGTGAAGTGGATCCAAGTCATCCCAGGTCCACCTCCCTCTTATACCCTGCCATGTCTTTCTGACATCACGTGAGGACAGTAAAAGTTGGATTAAGCAGAGATCACGCACGTGACAACTACCCAAATTGTCTTTTTTTTTTCTTTTTCTTTTTTTTTAATGAAACTACCCAAATTGTCTTGCATATGTTAAACATGGCTCCACTGCAAAATTTGTTCTTTTTGGTTTCCTTTCAAAAAGATAGATTATTAATATTGGATCTCTTCGCATAAAAAATAAGAATGATTTTTAACTTGGGTGTGTTCTTTTCATATAAAAAGATAGAATATTACTATTGGATTAGAATATTACTATTGAATCTCTTCATATAAAAAAGAAATTTCCAAACGTACAAGACATTGGAATTATCAAAATTATGATATGGTTCCTATTATTATTATTATTATTTTTTTATTATTATTATTATTATTATTTTGAGAGAGAGTACATCTTTACTCTTTAGGAAGAAAACTAAGGCAATGTTTGATAGTTTGTATTTGTGTTGTATTTTTATAATATAATACGGTGTTTAATGTCATGATGTATTGTACAAGATGTTAAAAATGTAATTTTTAAAAATTTTAGGGTCAAATAGAATTTTTCAAAAGCTTTAGGGTCAATATGTTATCTTTTAAAAAAAGTTAAAGATCAAAATATAATTTTGTAAAACTTGAGTGGTCAAAATGTAATTTTTAGAATATATACATTTGCATTATGCTTTCTCAATTTTTAAACAATTATAGACTCCAACATGAATCTATGTTAACTCGATCCCGACCTCAGTCGTACCTAATCCCGACATAAATTGTAAATCTGCTATAGAATAATACAAAATAGTACATCAAAAATGAAACATATTTAATAATACGATATAAACCGTATTAATTTATAATACGATAATCATACAAAACATTATATTAATTTATTATTATACAATACGGTGCTTTAATACAGTCAAACAAACATACACAGAGATTAATATACAACTTTGTTTCAATACTTTTTAGTAATTTCAAGCTAAATCATCAGGATGAAAAGAAGAACCCTTTAAGATAATAACTCGGGAAAAGAACCGTGGAGATTCCTCACGACAATTAGTGAAAGGGTGAGTAATTTTGTCCATGGCACAACAACTTCTTCTTTTCTTTTCTTTTTTTTTTTATTCATGAACACAAAGTTTCCGACCCAATTCTTCTTCTTCTTCTTCCTAGATGCGCGCACACACATATATATACACACGTATATATATATACGTTATATATAAATGATCTTCGCTTGTCGGGTCCTAATGACCTTCTTCTTACACTCAAAAAACCAGATACTTTTTGGTGGTTGAATACTAGACATTTACGAAAAGAATCTCCATGGTGGTCGAATCAGAACTACATTGAAAGAAAGCAAAGTAGAATCTTGTTCAGTTACGGATTCTCACATATCTATTTAAAGAGGTTTTTTAAACTTGGTTTTTCATTTTTTTTTTCCATTTTATCTAAATTTAGTAATGTACTTTTAGCTCTAAATATTGCATGATGCGTGCGTCTATAGAAAAGGAGCAATGTCGTGAGTCGTTATTGGCTATCTTAGAGCCGGTTTGGTTCATGAGTTAGAATCATGAGATTAAAATTATTTTTGATTTACGTGTATTTTTTTGTAAGAGAAAATACTGTAGCGAACCATGACCATGATTCGAATCAGAGAACGAATCCTCTAACCAAACGTGCTCTTAATCACGTTTTTTTCAACCAATCACAAATTTACATATCAACTTTTAAACTCACTGATTATGATACATAGTTTTATATGTCAGCTTGAACTCTTACTTAAAATTCATTGATTATCATCTTTACTGGTCATAGTTAGAATTTTTTATTGAGACTTTCTCTTATAGTCTCTGCAAAAATATATTACTAGTAGTCTCTTACTTTTCAGTTATCAAATCTATATTAAAATTTATCTATTTTATATATTTTTTAATTTAATGTGGTTTTTATCAAATTAATAATTAAAAATTGAGACTATATCAGTAAGACCAATTACATGGGAAACTCTTTTTTTAATTAAGAAAAAGAAGGTGTGTTGAGTTTTTAAGTGAGCTAAGAAAAGAATAAGAAAAGAGTGCTACGTGGCAAGCTTTGACCCATGAACATAACAAAAATTACAGGTTATTAAGTAACATAATGAATGTTTGTTTGTTTGTTTGCTTTTTTTTTTTTTTTTTGGGCCTTT